GCAGCTGTGACTTCTCAATCTGGAGATGCAAAGGCTGTATACCAAGGTTCTTCCGGATATCAGTATTCCGGACCATGTCGAAATGCGTTAGGCCAGCGACTCGTCTAAGAAAGACCAGGTTGTATATTTAAAAGTAAAATAAAATATGCGTAGTACAAGAAGTTCATTGTGGGAGATGACAACGTATTTCAAAATATTACGAATGAAAAAGCAACGCATAAATATATTACCAGATTGCATATTTAAAAGTAAAATATTTATGCGTTGCTTTCTTATTCGTATCATTTTGAAACACGTTGTCATCTCCCGCATAATGAACTTCTTGTACTACGCATAAACGCCAACGATATAGGTTATGTGGGAATTGGCTAATTGGTGAATAAAAGCCTAATTTTATGCGTACTGCATAGACCCATCGTTGCCTAAGAGAGCTTTGAAACGAGCCGTGACTCGGTATTTTGATACTTAAGGTGCTGCATTTACTTCACATACTTTTTTTTCATGCAAACAGTCTTTCCATCACAAACGAATGTTGCTTCAGTAGCTTGTACTTCTTGTATGCTGCTCATAAACCAAAAATGATTTTTTTGCGACACTAACTTGTTTACATGGGCATAACTCTACCATGGCGAATAACCAAAAAAGCATGTCTTGTAAGAACGGAAAAAGTTGCATTATTTTATTAGTTACAGATAACATACTAATGTTTTGATCGATAATGTGAGCGATACAGGAGCCGTATTACCACTCATTTGTGATGAACGCTGTCGTCACCTGAACGCGTGGTTCATGCAGTGATCGATTGACGGTTTTAGAGCGTTCTATCTAAGGCCCTGGTTTGTGAAAGGGGGCGTAGTTAAGCAGTTCTACATATCCGACCTTAAGCATGATGTGTGGGTGGCAACATCAACAGAAATTTTAAAAGTGGAGCAAACTTTCATGGGTCAACGCCTAGACGAACTCAAAAGAAGCCTCATTTAACGTTGAAGCTCAAACCAGAGAAAACCACAGCACCATTTCTACCGATGATTCACAAGTGTCAGAAATCTAAACGGCAGGACTGACGTAAATACAAACGTTTGCTCAGCGAATTAGTTATTTTGTGTAAAACATCTCAGAGTATTTTAAACGCGAATATTTTGTAATACTGTTACATTTCTATAAATAGATATTTACATCGTCTTTGCCCGAAGACTTGACCTTATTATTTTTGTTTCTATATGAATTGGATGTTTCTATAACTCCTCCGACCCCTTTGTGTCGTTGAGAAATTCTCTCAAGGTTTATTGTTCACTTCCTCTTTAAGCAGTAAAATTGTTTTATTAATGTTGCAACTTCAATCATTTTTTATAAATGTCTCATAATATAACGTTAAAGATGTGCTCGTCATTCAGGAGTATAATGACCAAGAGCACATAATCCCTTCAAGACTAGATTTAAATTTAACAATCTGTCCATGCGTTTCCAGTGGAGATGCGTGTAAATGCAAGTACATCCTTATATGAAGCTGCTATACTGATTCTAGCTTCACTCTGCATTGTGTTGTTATTTAAGAAATTTTCAAAAGCTGTTTAGATTGGGGTGATTTGCACGCAAATGCTATATGCAAGTGGTATTTCAACAGAAGTCCTGCTGCGCTTGCCCTGGAAGTTACGAGTTACTGTGAATGGGAAGGTTATAATCACGAAGACATCATTCGCTCGATCGACCCAAAACCACCAAACGGCGCTGATCAGACCGCGTACGACGAAGTGTTGCTCTTCGTGAAGTCTGGTCTGGAGGCGGTGATTGGCCAGAGAAAGAAGTACCCGGCACAACACAGCGACATATCGGCTGCGGCTTCAGATATACTTCCGCTTCTTCGCGCACTGTCTGAACTGAAAGCGACGTCTGACGCAGAAC